CAACGCTCTCTCCGCGCCGCCTCTCGCCTTCTTGCGCAGCAGCGAGACTAAACGAACAAGTGTAACCAAATCCAGGGACTGCCAGCGCTCATCGCTCCGTCATAAACTAAAGCCTCTTTGTCCAGTTAAGTCTGACATAACCCCATACCTCCATTTGGCCGAGCGCAGCCCGGCTCGCCACCGCCGGTCCTCCTGCATTAACTCCAGATTAGATATGCCTCCTTGAGTAGCTCCGCGAGGCAGGCACGGCTGCCTTTGTCATCGTTACCCGCTTTGCAAGTCTATAATTTTTCTTCTCATTCTTCTTTTTGCTCTTACTTATACTTCCTTCTCCTATTTTCCATTCTCTTCCATCGTCTTAATTTCATCCGAAGTATTGCTGCGATGCTCTGTTCCTTGAAAAGCCGACAGCATCTCACAAGGAGAAAGTCCCTTACCACGAAGCGGCTGTCGATGCGACGCTGGATTATCACGTCTTTAAGCAGCTGATACTTCGGCTTTCTTCTGCGGCCTCTTTCCCTGTGACTACAGAGAAATCGGAATGCTTCATGGATATATGGTGCATATAGATATCGACTAAATATGCAAGAGACGCGGTGTATTTTGATTCATGATCATGGATCTTCCACCCCGTTATTCTCTCCCTATCACTCAGCATGCATTTTTTCCCTCTCACTCATTATCTAATTCCTCCTCAATCAACTCTTCTCTTCGTCTATCTGTTTTGCGTTTTTGTTCATTCTCTCTTCTGTTTTCACGTAAATCCTCTATTTCTCTGTCTGTCTGTCTTCCTGTCTCTCTCTCTGTCATTCTCTCTCTCTCACTCTCTCTCTCTCTCTCTCTCTCTCTCTCTCTCTCTCTCTCCCTCTCTCTCTGTCTCTGTCTGTCCTGCTATCTCTCTCTCTCTCTCCCTCGCTCTCTCTCTCTCTCTCTCCTCTCTCTCTCTCTCTCCTCTCTCTCTCTCTCTCTCTCTCTCCTCTCTCTCTCTCGCTCTCTCACTCACTCACTCTCTCTCCTTACTTTCTTCCCTCTCCCTCGTCATCACATTACCTTGTGTTTTAATTTGTCTATTTATGTCCATGTACGTATTTATACACCAATTTATCTATCTGTCCTTCCTCAGACCTCTTCTGTCTGTCTGTCTGTCTGTCTATCTCTGTATCTCTCTCTCTCTCTGTTTTTTCTCAGTCTGTTTGTCTGTTTTTGTCTGTCTCTCATATACACATACATACATGAACCTCAGTCGCATGAGATACAGAGAAAAATATACACCTAGCGTGGAAACGTTGATAGACTGGTGAGGACACGCGTGTTGCAGCTGTCGGTCAACGGCAATTGCTGAAGGGAACCGGTAGAAGGCGCTGCGTTAGGAACCTCCCGGCAATATTAGATGCAACTTCCCTCCAGCCTTTCAGTAACACACCTATACATGTAATTCCAGCCACCCCCATTTAATAACACAAAGGAGGAGACGCGTCGCACAAAAAGACGCATGCACAGACATACACACGCTCAAACTTAACAAGCAGCGCACACGCACGCGCACGGACGCACAAACACACACGCAGGCTTACCCATGCGGAACAGGAGCCCGAACGAGCACCTCCTTGGTATCGCTCTCCATCTGATAATCTCCCGAATCGTCTCGGACGCCGAACGAGACTGCCTCGAAACATGCTTCGGAGCCTTTTCTTGCCGACCCGGATAATCCTAAGTATGAGCAATTTCGGCCCTTATTTGGGCGTTTAATTGGGGCATTTCCGAGCGTGCTGCTACATGAGCTTATTTGGGTACTAACTGCACTCGGCATTATGTGGCGAGTCGGTAAAAGCGGGAAGGTTTGCGTGCTTGAATTAGGAAATAAACAGTTTAGGCAAAATGAGCTGAGGCTTCAGTGGAAACCTTCTTGGCGAGGTATTGACTCCCGATCTCAAGTGATTCACCTTATAAGGAGTTATGTGAGTCATCCTGAACTCTCGCCTCGAATTCATATCTTCTCGCACAAAGTATTAAAATTCTGATTTGTATCACTTGCACGTCCCTCCGCTCGGAGAGAAAAACAAGTCCCTCTATCGAGCATCGTCTCTCTTAAAGGCATTTGTGATTGATAAGAAATCACTGAAAACCTAAAATGCTCGTGACATGCTGAGAGTAATTGGATGGGTGACGTCATCGACATTGACTCCGCCCCTGGCAGCTGATTGGTTGATGGGCGGGGCTAAGACCTTCTCGGAGATGCCCCCGCACTTGCGAGCAACAAGGGTTCGATCCTTGACAGAATTTCAAGTAAAATAGGAATCCTTGTCCTTCTCCTAGGATATGGTGCTAGAGTACGTGTTATCCCTTTAATCAAACTGTCACTCAAAGCCTTTTCGTTCTATGGCGGAAACCGATGGCCCTTATATCCGGGAGGCCTGAGAGCAATGTCTGCAGAGCTTAGAAGTTCAGTAATAACTCGTATTTCCTTCTAGCCCGGAGCGCTGAGAAGAGATGCTGGCGG